TATTAACTCAATGTTTGCAAAAAGAGGAAATCAACTAAAACCATTATGTGGATTATGGATTATAGAAATCAATTGCTAATGATTGTTTTAGAAATGTAACCCAGACAACACACTGTTCACCAATTATTGATTTGTGTTTTTTAAAAAAATCAATAAAATATATTACAAAAAAAAGGAGTTAAGTCTGACTTGAAGGAAGAAGAGAGAGGAGAGTGAGAGAGGAGGAGGAAGGAGGAGGGTGGGAGAAAGGAAAGGGGACAGGGAGAGGGAGAGATGGGAAGGGGACGAGGAAGGGGAAGAGGGATAGGAGGGAAGGAGGAAGGGAGAGGGAGGAAGGGGAGGGGAAGGAGGAAGGGGAAGAGGGAGAGGGAGAGAAGGAGCAGGAGGGAGAAGGGGGAAGGGCAAGAGAGGGGTAGAGGAGGAAGAAGGGAGAGAGGGAATGGGAGAGAGGGAAGGGGGAAGGGGAAGGGGAAGAGAGGAGGAGAGAGGGAGCGGGAGAGAGGGGGGAGATGAGGAAGAAAGAGGGAGAGATGGGAAGGGGATGAGGAAGGGGAAGAGGGATAGGGGGAAGGAGGAAGGGAGAGGGAGGAAGGGGAGGGGAAGGAGGAAGGGGAAGAGGGAGAGGGAGAAAGGGAGAGAGGGAGCAGGAGAGAGGGGGAGAAGGGGGAAGGGGAAGAGAGGGGAGAGGAGGAAGAAAGGAGAGAGGGAATGGGAGAGAGGGAAGGGGGAAGGGGGAGAGAGGGAGAGAGAGGGAGCAGGAGAGAGGGGGAGATGAGGAAGAGAGAGAGGGAGAGATGGGAAGGGGACAAGGAAGGGGAAGAGGGATAGGAGGGAAGGAGGAAGGGAGAGGGAGAAAGGGGAGGGGAAGGAGGAAGAGGGAGAGGAAGAAGGGAGAGAGGGAGCGGGAGAGAGGGGGAGAAGGAGGAAGGGGGAAAGGGAAGAGAGGGGGAGAGAGGGAGCGGGAGAGAGGGGGGAGATGAGGAAGAAAGAGGGAGAGATGGGAAGGGGATGAGGAAGGGGAAGAGGGATAGGGGGAAGGAGGAAGGGAGAGGGAGGAAGGGGAGGGGAAGGAGGAAGGGGAAGAGGGAGAGGGAGAAAGGGAGAGAGGGAGCAGGAGAGAGGGGGAGAAGGGGGAAGGGGAAGAGAGGGGGAGAGGAGGAAGAAAGGAGAGAGGGAATGGGAGAGAGGGAAGGGGGAAGGGGGAGAGAGGGGGAGAGAGGGAGCAGGAGAGAGGGGGAGATGAGGAAGAGAGAGAGGGAGAGATGGGAAGGGGACAAGGAAGGGGAAGAGGGATAGGAGGGAAGGAGGAAGGGAGAGGGAGAAAGGGGAGGGGAAGGAGGAAGAGGGAGAGGAAGAAGGGAGAGAGGGAGCGGGAGAGAGGGGGAGAAGGAGGAAGGGGGAAAGGGAAGAGAGGGGGAGAGAGGGAGCGGGAGAGAGGGGGGAGATGAGGAAGAAAGAGGGAGAGATGGGAAGGGGATGAGGAAGGGGAAGAGGGATAGGGGGAAGGAGGAAGGGAGAGGGAGGAAGGGGAGGGGAAGGAGGAAGGGGAAGAGGGAGAGGGAGAAAGGGAGAGAGGGAGCAGGAGAGAGGGGGAGAAGGGGGAAGGGGAAGAGAGGGGAGAGGAGGAAGAAAGGAGAGAGGGAATGGGAGAGAGGGAAGGGGGAAGGGGGAGAGAGGGAGAGAGAGGGAGCAGGAGAGAGGGGGAGATGAGGAAGAGAGAGAGGGAGAGATGGGAAGGGGACAAGGAAGGGGAAGAGGGATAGGAGGGAAGGAGGAAGGGAGAGGGAGAAAGGGGAGGGGAAGGAGGAAGAGGAAGAGGGAGAGGAAGAAAGGAGAGAGGGGGAGAAGGAGGAAGGGGGAAAGGGAAGAGAGGGGGAGAGAGGGAGCGGGAGAGGGGGAGATGAGGAAGAGAGAGAGGGAGAGAAGGGAAGGGAAGAAAGAAGGGGAAGAGAGGGAGAGAGAAGTGCAGAAATCATCCAACTGTTTTTCCTGCCCACAAATGTGGGTGGTAGAACTCTACCCTTAGTGAGACAGGAGCCCCTTCATCTCCCTCACACCCCAAAGTCTGAATCAAACCCTCCATTCTAGTTCATGCATTTGAAGCCAGAATCCACTTACCAGTTAACCAATTAAGCCCAACATGTTGGAGATCGACCAACTCCAAACCAAACTTGCAAACCAAGGAATTGAATCCAGCACCGGAAAGACCTGTTGGTATCTCCTTTTTTGACAGTCCGTCCTTCTGCAGTTCATCAGTCTTTATTTAGAGAACCTGCTTGCAAGAGTGAAGTTGCAGAGATGACAACTCTAAGACGTGCCTGCAGTTCTTCCTCTGAAGTAGTTTCATAAATAACTGCAGCGACAGGAAGGCCATTTATACTCCTTGGCGCGCTTCTAGAGAGATAAATTGCTAATATTTCTATTATGGGGACAATTACACCCCCTATCTTTGTTTCCCCGCTGGGAAGATTAATACTCATTCACCCTGGAGAAGGGGGGTAAATACAATGACATCCCCGGAAAGATTTGTTTTCATTTAGAGTTTGGTGGTTCAAAAATTCTGTGCATCTCTCTGGATAATTGGCTTTGTTCCTAGGCTTTCCCACACTGGAAAGCCTTAAAGAAATTAATTATATCAGAAATCTTTGGATCAAAAAATCCAACATCAAGGCTGACAAAGGAAAGTGAATTCTGGATGCAAAAACATTGCACAATTCTACTTTTTAAAGCAATTATCACTGCAGTATTAGATTCTTTTCCATGCCCCCTGAAAAAAAATAAATTAAAAGACTACGGGTTCTTTTTAGTGATTAATGCTGATTTCATGTGAAAACACAGAGATCTTGCAAATGCCATCCGATTGCATCAGTCATTTGCTGGGATTGTAGGTTTTTAAAAGTATTTATTTCTTTAACATTAGAGATTAGATCTCCCTCTAGTGGAAATTGGAATGTCATACTTCATATCTCTTGAAAGATATAAGCCAGAACAAGTAACTTGTGATTACTTGTGCTATTCTGAACTGGGTGCTAAGATTTGGGAAGGAGGGTTTCAACTACTCTGTCTCAGGAATTCCTAAATCAGTTTTCTCAATCTTGGCAACAGTGGACTTCAACTCCCAGAATTCCCCAGCCAGCATGAGTTGAAGTCCACATGTCTTAAAGTTGCTAAGTTTGAGAAACACTTGACATAAACACTTCCAACAAATTGCACAGCACAATAAATTGGACAAATTGCACAGTATCAATATTTCCCCATCATTTGTTTTGCAGAAGAAAAGATACATATTTGAAGAAGGCAACACCCAAAGATCCACAGGGAGAAAATAAAAAAATATTTATTTATATCCCATCTGTACTATTTATTTCATAAGTAACTCGAGGTAGCAAACATACTTAATTTTATTTATTTATTTGCATCCAGCCTTTATTACTTCAACAAATAACTCAAGGCAATGAACATATCCAACACACCTCCTCCTCCTAATTTCCTCACAACATACAACCCTGTGAGGTGGGCTGGGCTGAAAGAGAGGGACTGGCCCAAAGTCACCCAGCTGGCTTTATGCCTAAGGCGGGATTAGAACTCACACTCTCCTGCTGATTGGCCCAAAGTCACCCAGTCAGCTTTCATGCCTAAGATGGGAGTAGAACTCAGCATCTCTTGGTGGCATTGCATCACATGTAAAAAAAAAATGTGGGGGTTTTATCTCATGGTTGGGGCCTCCATCTTGAATCCACTCCCTGAGGAACTCTAGGAACCAGCATCACTCTGCTCTTGAACATGGAGGCTTCATTTTACTCAAGAATGCTGCAACTGTTGAACTATCCACAGATTAACTAAGTTGAGTGCATTGGGTAAATATATATATTTATTTTTATCTTGTCTTTATTATTTTTATAAATAACTCATGGCAGCAAACATTTTTCTTTCGCTTATTCTTTTCCTTTGTTTCTGTACACCATTTTTATTAGCATTATTTTCCTTTACTGTCCCTTCTTTCGGAGTTTAGCTAGTATTCTCTTTCAGTGTTGTCATTTAAACTTTCAATAAACATTGTTTTATAAAGAACATTTTTCACTGGAAAAATATAGATCAGTGGGATAGATCAAAAGATGAGAGTTTCTCCAACTTAGAAATTTTTAAGACATGTCTTAAAGTTGCCAAGTTGGAGAAACGCTGACAAATTGTAGCACATCTGCGGTGGGTGCATTGCTCAGAAACAACCTGGAAGCTGCAACCGTTAGTCAGAATATACAATAGCACAGAGTTGGAAGTGTTGGAGGACCCACAACTTCGGGAATCAAGCAGTTCAACTGATCAATTGTTCTATCAGGAAATTTATCCTTAATTCTGGGTTGCTTCTCTCCTTGATTAGTTTCCATCCGATGTTTCTTGTCTTGCCTTCAGATGCTTTGAAGAATAGCTTGACTCCCGCTTCTTTGTGGCAGCCCCTGAGATACTGGAAGACTGCTATCATGTCCCCCCTCGTTCTTCTCTTTATTAAACAAGATATGACAGCAGTGTTCCAATATTTGAGGGGCTGCCACAGATAGGAGGGTGTCAACCTGTTTTCCAAAGCACCTGAAGGCCAGACAAGGAATAAGGGATGGAAACTGATCAAGGAGAGATTCAACCTAGAAATAAGGAGAAATTTTCTGACAGTGAGAACAATCAACTAATGGAGCAGATTGCCTTCAGAAGTTGTGGGAGCTTCATCACTAGAAGCTTTCAAGAAGAGACTGGACTGCCATCTGGACTAGATGACCTACAAGGTCCCTTCTAACTCTGTTATTGTATTCTGTTCTGCTTTGTTGTGTTCTTGCAACCGTTCAGCGTATGCATTAATCTGCATAGGGGACTAACCAACTTTATTGTTCTTCTCTGCACTTTTTCTAGGGTCTCAAGTTACATCAACAGGCCTTCATTTGTGAGGCGGGGGGGGGGGGCGTCTGTAATCCTTGGGTGGTTGGGAACCGGAACGGGGACGAACGGAAGAGGGAAAGTCCATTTCAGGCGGAAAGAAAGAAAACAAAAAACCATAAGTTACATAATTTAAGGCTCCTCCTTCCGGCAGCTGGCGACGATCCTGCTCGTGATCGCAGAGGAAAGCAGAGCGCAAAACATGTCCGGGCGTTACTTCGGATTGCAGGATCCCGAGGTTGCGTCAGGTTTTTCCGACCTGAGCGACTCCGAGTTCTTGCAGATAGAGGAGCCGAAGATCGGGTAAGCAGCGGGTTGCGTTCGCGTGACTGGCTGGCCCCGGTTCACAAAACCCTGGTTGGAGTCCCGTCCCTGGTGCGTGCGCGGTTCCCCAGAGCGTCAACGGACTTAACGGGCTGGGTTGCGCCGTTGTTTTTTTACGGTTAACCGCGTTTGGGGTTCGAACTCGCGTTGCCCTGCAACTCGCAAAACATGTTTTGACGCCTGGGATGTTCAACGGAACTAAAGCGAACGCGGTTTTCGCCGCCCGCGTTTGCGCTCCCGCGGGGATTTAACGAAAGTAAAGGGGAAAAGAAAGCGGTCCAGAGTCACCTCTGCTCCATTAGTTGATTGTTCTCACTGTCAGAAAATTTCTCCTTATTTCTAGGTTGAATCTCTCCTTGATCAGTTTCCATCCCTTATTCCTTGTCTGGCCTTCAGGTGCTTTGGAAAACAGGTTGACACCCTCCTATCTGTGGCAGCCCCTCAAATATTGGAACACTGCTGTCATATCTTGTTTAATAAAGAGAAGTTTAATAAAATAAATTAGAGAAAACTTTCTGGCCACGATTAAGGTCAAAAAGACATTCTGTGGAACATTAGTCCCTGTTGAAAAACAAAAGAAGGTGCTATCCTAAATATCTGCAGAGATTCTCGGTCATCCAAGTTATGGCTGTCCCAATGGTGCTTTTTCAGGAGGCAAGTGGACTTTCTCGTTTTTCTTTGAAGGCGTTTGGCTTCTCGTCCAAGAAGCTGCTTCAGCTTTGACTATAGGAACATTTACGCTTCAGTTTGAGGTGCAGACAACACAGACTCATCCCCAACAGCCTGTTCTGCCTTCAACAGTGAAGGGACGTAGGGCAGAAAGCATCCTGCAGCCAAGAAGGCTCCAGGCCCATTTGCACCACTCAGGTGACCTTGAGGACACAGGTAAACCTCCAAGTGGCCTCAACGACTCTCTAAATGAATGCAAGTGACCATAATACCGTATAAGTTAGGGGTCTTCAAACTTGGCCCTTTTATGACTTGTGGACTTCAACTCCCAGAATTCTTCAACCAGTGTGCCTGGCTAAGGAATTCTGGGAGTTGAAGTCCCCAGATCATAAAGTGGCCAACTCTGAAGACCCCTGGTATAAGTCCTTCCTTTCCCCACCATCCAGTCAGAGCTGAGAAGCAAAATGTCTTCAAAGAAAAACAACAAAGTCCACTTGCCTCCTGAAAAAGCACCTTTGGTGCTATCCTAAATACACACCTAAGCAGGCCGGGAGTCAGTGATCTAATTGGCCTTTTGTACTATCTGAAGTAGAACATCCAGAGTCAGTCACAGTTCCATATAATATCAACCTTGTGAACTCTCAATTTTTCGGCTATGTATTCAAAATGGACCCATTTATGGATTACTGCCTTGTCGTGGCAATTCCAAAGAAAGGCAATGCCAAAGAATGTTCAAACTATCGCACCATTGCACTCATTTCACATGCTAGTAAAGTTATGCTTAAAATCCTACAAGCTAGACTCCAGCAGTATGTGGATCGAGAACTACCAGAAGTACAGGCAGGATTTCGAAGAGGCGGAGGAACTAGAGATCAAATGCCAACATACGCTGGATCATGGAGAAAGCTAGGGAGTTCCAGAAGAAGAAGAAGAGGACAGAGAATGAGATGGCTGGATGGAGTCACTGAAGCAGTAGGTGTGAATTTAAATGGACTCCAGAAGATGGTAGAGGACAGGAAGACCTGGAGGAACGTTGTCCATGGGGTCGCGATGGGTCGGACACAACTTCGCAATTAACAACAAATTCAAAATGGTCTGTGATTAATATTGTTGTTAATTGTGAAGTCGTGTCTGACCCATCGCGACCCCATGGACAACGTTCCTCCAGGTCTTCCTGTCCTCTATCATCTTCTGGAGTCCATTTAAGCTCACGCCTACTGCTTCAGCCACTTCATTCTCTGTCGTCCCCTTCTTCTATTGCTCTCAATCTTTCCCAGCATTAGGCCCTTCTTCAGTGAGTCCTTTCTTCTCATTAGGTGGCCAAAGTATTTGAGTTTCAACTTCAGGATCTGGCCTTCTAAAGAGCAGTCGGGGTTGATCTCTTCTAGGACTGACCGGTTTGAACGCCTTGCAGTCCAAGGGACTCGCAGGAGTCTTCTCCAGCATCATAGTTCAAAGGCCTCAATTCTTTGCGCTCAGCCTTTCTTATGGTCCAACTTTCACAGCCATACATTGCAACTGGGAAAACCATGGCCTGACTATATGCACTTTTGTTGGCAGGGTGATGTCTCTGCTTTTTAGTATGCTGTCTAGATTTGCCATAGCTTTCCTCCCCAGGAGCAAGCGTCTTTTAATTTCTTGGCTGCAGTCCCCATCTGCGGTGATCTTGGAGCCCAGGAAAATAAAATCTGTCACTACCTCCATTTCTTCCCCATCTATTTGCCAGGAATTGAGAGGGCCGGATGCCATGATTTTGGTTTTCTGTGATTAATGTGTGTGTGTGTGTGTGTGTGTGTGTGTGTGTGTGTGTGTGTGAGAGAGAGAGAGAGAGAGAGAGAGAGAGAGAGAGAGAGAGAGAGAGAGAGAGAGAGAGAGAAGAGTAAAAATATGACAATAAAGGGTATCTTTTTCCATCTCTGTGATTCTTGTTACTCTTTTCTGGAATTTGTTCCTACTGAGTACCTCTAAATCACTTGTGTTGCCCATGGATGATTTTTACTTTTGACTGCCATCTTATGCTCATCTGGATTCTTGCAGCAGAAATATGATAATCCGAACTTCTTGCATGCTCATGGCAGGGAATCCCAACCCCTCAGCGGTTCCAGGCCTCAGCATGCTGATTCTCGGCTTGCTAATGTGGAAGAAGGGAAGCGGAGGACAGCAAAGAGGAAGAGAGCGAAGACACCTCTTGAAGCTTTCCGCCTGTGCTATCTTTGGGTCACAGTTCTCTCTGATCAAGTGTGGTGCGAGCAAAAGATGGTTTATCACAAAGAAAAGCCGAGTGTGCAATTGCCGGAGAAGATGACAGTGGTATTAAATACAGGAAAGTCAATACATCTTGCCAGAGGTGACATCATTTGGATGTTTGGGTTAAATTCTAGTCTTCTCTTTCTTTAATATATTGCATTGCAAGGATGGGAAATAGGATCCCTGATCTATTATGAGCATGGCCATATTTTCTATCTGTAAAACAGTGGGTATTTTCTTGCATAATAAAGCTGCTAGTCCTTAAGGTGCCCCAGAACTACCTTTTTTGTTGTGGTAATGTGACTGCCCTTTTAGAATATGACTAACAACGGAAAGCAACAGCATCTAGCAGGTTGTGGCTGATCTTTAAAAAGATGATCAGGGTCACCCCATACCTGGATGGGAGACCACCAAGAGATTCCAGGGTTATGAATTAGATTGGAAGCCGAACAGAGGACTGAGAAGCTGGTAGTGGCAACCCACTATGATATTGCTGCTGAAAAGGTTACCAAAATAAGGCTTAACTCAAGAGTAACGTTTATCTTTCAATAGTGGACCATAATTTTGAGTGATGCCCCCAACCCCAACATGGTCCATGATTGCTTAAAATTAAGGCCATTCAGTTTCTAGACATTTTTAAGGGGGAAATGGCATAATCCTTTAAATCAGTATTCTTCAATCTTGGCAACTTGAAGATATGTGGACTTCAGCTCCCAGAATTCCCTGATCTGCCAGAATTCTGGGAGTTGAAGTCCACAGATTTTCAAATGGCCGAGGTTGAGAAACACTGATTTAAACAGATTTATAATTGCTCAATAATGCAGAAGAAAAGTAGAGCCCCAAATCTTCCTAAAAGCTCAAGAAACAGACAGTAAAACTCACCAAAAACTTAAATGTGTAGTGCAAGGATAGGCACTACACATTGGCTCTTTTATGACTCGTGGACTTCAACTCCCAGAATTCCTGAGCCAGCCATGCTGAGGTTGCATACCCCTGGTGTAGTGCAAGGGCCATCTTAATGCCTGGGTATTGCTACTCAAATAGACCAGATAGTAATGTAATGGCATGTCTAAGAAAGGCACAGACAACTGGCTGGCTGTAATTCTAAACAGGAGCTACGGATAGTCCTAGAGACTTAGACTTAACAATCACAACTGCAACCAGAATTTCCGTGGCTAAGCAAGGCAGTCATTAAGTGAGTCATGCCCAATTTTATGACTTCTTTGCTACAGTTGTTAAGCGAATCACTACAGTTGTTAAGCAAATCGTGCGACTGTTAAGGGAAACTGGCTTCTCCCACTTGTCAAACCCAGGATGCTGCAACTGTCATACTGACAAACCGGTTGCCAAGACCTCACATTTTGATCACGTAACTGTGGGGATGCTGCAACATTTGTCAGTGTGAAAACTGGTCGCACGTCACTCTTTTCAGTGCCATTATAACTTCGAATGGCCATTAAACGAGTGGTTGTAAGTGAAGGATTACCTGCACTGCTTGGGCTGTGCTATTGAGCTGCTATTTGCTCTGTCGTTGAAGCCAGTGAAGGCTTCAATTTTTCTCAGACCCTCATGGGGGGGGGTGTGAGGGGAGCGATTTGCTATAGAATTAAAAGGTAAAGGTTTCCCCTGTCCAGTCATGCCCAACTCTAGGGGGCTGGTGTTCATCTCTGTTTCCTAGCCGAGGGAGCCATGTCTGTCCGAAGATGTGTCTGCAGGCATGTGGCCAGCATAACAATACACTCAGTCACATGGAACACTGTTACTGTCATGGTTCCAACAGATGAAACCAAAGAACTTTGAGGCATTGTTTACCTTAAAGAATCTTTATTGGAGTAGCATAGCTTTGGCACTAACATAGTTGAAGCCAAAATCTGAAATCCCCTCCCCTGAATACATAGTATCAAAGCAGAATTCTCTCCTCTAATTTACAGTCATAAATCACATTCTCCAATTGTTTGAAATGTAGACTTTCCCTCCATTACTCCATCTCGCCATCTCTTATCATCTCTTATTTCAAAAGTCCTGAATTCACACAGTATTACAATATTGTTATGTAACTCCCATCACATTCCTCCTCCTCCCCCAGTATCATCTAATGCTAAGAGTTAAGCATAAGAAAGAAAAAGGCTGCATCTCCATATATTGTCAAAGCAAGAACATCCAATGTTAGCAGCATTGACAGTTACCTTCCCACCAAAGTGGTGCCTATTTATCTACTCACATTTGCATGCTTTCGAACTGCTAAGTTGGCAGGAACTGAGGCAAGGACAGGAGCTCACCCTGTCAGGCAGTGCTTGGGTCTCAGACTGCCAACATTCCAGTCAATAAGCCCAACATCTTAATCGCTAGATCACTGGGCTGCCTTGCTGTAGAGATAAGTAGCTAATTCTGGGAGCAGGAAAGCAACATTCTTTCTCTGTGGCTGCTTCATTCCAGAACTGCAAGATCATAGTCTGGTGCCTGTGAAGACTACAAGCCGAGAAGATGGATGGGCCATCAAGCTGGTTAACATCCTCCTGACTGTAGCTAATCTACGAAAAGGTGGGCACTCTGCTCGTGGAATGCTCCCCATGCCTCTCAGGATGGCAAAGGTGCTTAAATGTGGTTTTCTCCCTGGCAGGTTGGCGTGTGCGGGAATGCCCGGTCTTTGGCGTGTTAGAAGGGGTTTTTGTGTTCGGGATCATTGACCAGCTAAATTATACGGCTAAAGGCGAATTGCAACTGAATGAATTGAAGACAAGGGAAAAAGCCTACATGCCTGGACCTGCACAGAAGAAGAGGGACCGTTTCCAGGTGGGTCAGGGTGGGATTGGAGACCCTAGGCTGTCTGGAGGGGAGGCTTGGAACCCAGATATAGGGAGGGAAGTGGCTGCATTCAACTGGGTCAGTTAAAAACCAAAGAGTTGGGAAGGAACTTACTGTAGAAGTCATCTAATCCACCTACCAACTCGATGCAGGATCCACTAGATCGGTGGTTTTTCAAATTTGGCCACTTTTAAGAAGTGTGGACTTCAACTGCCAGAATTCTCCAGCCAGCAATATTGGCTGGGGAAATCTCGGTGTTGAAGTCTACACTTCTTAAAAATGACTAAGCTTGAGAAACGCTGCACTAGAACGATGGTTGTGTAGCTGCTGTTGAAGTTCAGTGAAGGGGAATTTAGCCCTTCATGCGAGAGCCTTTTCCATAGGTTGACAGTTCAAAGAGTCAGATAATATCTCCTGCAGAGAAGAGCAACTAAGATGATTAAAGGCCTGGAGACTAAAACATAGGAATAGCAGTAACAGGATTTGGGTTTGCCTAGTCTAGAGAAAAGAAGGACTGGGGGGACATGGTAGCAGTGTTCTAGTATTTGAGGGGCTGCCACAAAGAGGAGGGGGTCAACTTATATTACAAAGTATCAGAGGTCAGGACAAGAAACAATGGAAACTAATCAAGGAAAGAAGCAACCTGGAATTAAGGAGAAACTTCCTAACAGTGAGAACAATTAGCCAGTGGAACAGCTTGCCATCAGAACTGGTGGGTGCTTCATCACTGGAGGTTTTTAAGAAGAGACTGGACAACCATTTGTCTGAAATGATACTATAGGATCTCCTGCTTGAGCAGGGGGTTGGACTAGAAGACCTTCAAGGTCCCTTCCAGCTCTATTCTGATTGAATTTGATCTTCCTTAACCCACTGAGTCTGGTCCTGGCCTCTGAAGGAAAAAAAATAAGCTCATTTCTTCCCCCATATGACAATCTGTCTGAGATTTGAAGACTATTGTTGTCTCCAGAACTGGATCCCATACTCCAAATGGAGTCTCATCAGGGAGAAATAAAATGGGACAATTACTCCCCATGATCTGAATTCTCTGCTTGTGTTAATTTCCTCCCACCCCTGATAGCATTTGCTTATTTACCCGCTGCATCACAGGGCTGACTCAGATTTAATGTAGGGTCAGCAAAGATACCCCAATCTTTTTTGACATCTGGTATTTTTTAATCATGGCTGCTTAGAATTGAAATGTTCTAAACTGAAATGTTGCTTAGAACTGAAATATTATCAGATTTTATTTGAAGTCGACGATAGTGAATTTATCAAAGGATCCTGGGATTTAGACTTAGAGAAACCAATAAACAATGTTTTTGGCAGTCTGGAGGACAGCATGAGACATTTCCATGCAAGAAATATGTATTAAACCTTTACAGTGGGCATATCAAACTCCAGTAAGCCCTCACATACATCTAAATACAGATAGTCCTCATCTTACAACTATTCATTTGGTTATCATTCAAAGTTACAATGGCATTGAAAAAAGACACTTGCAATCAGTCTTTACACTTATATGTTAGAAAATATCTTTATATATAGTCAGTGGTGGGATTCAATCGGTTCGCACCGGTTCAGTAGAACCAGTATCTAACTTTTGCTGCATTCGGAGAACCAGCTGGCTTCCAGAAGTCCAGTCTAGGCCTCGGAGGCCTGGAGGAGGCTTCCCAGGTCTAGAACAGTCCACCAGAAGTCCGTTCTAGGCCTTGGAGGCCCAGGCCTGCATCGAATAAGAGAACCGGTTGTTCAGGTATTTGAATTCCACCACTGTATATAGCACCACAGAGCAAAGAGTACAGTCACCATGTGCTTTACTGCTGAACTATTTAACTGTAACAGGAAATTGGGACTTCTGCTTCAAATGAAAGAGCATAGATCCAAACCATCGATATAGACTTGTAAACACTGCCATCTATTGGCTGAATACTTCTGTAATTGTTGATTAAAAATATGTTCCAACAATGAATTCCAACATTATGACCATCTCAACATCCCTACAGTCATTTGATCAAAATATCAGCACTAGGCAGCAGGCATGCATTTACAACAGTTGCAGTGTCTCGTGCTCATGTGATCACCATTTGCCACCTTCCCAGCCAGCTTATGTTGAGCAAAGTCAGTGGGGGAAGCTGGATAGGCTTAGTGTGATTCACTTATCAACTGAAGTGATTTGCTTAAGAACCATGGCAGCAAAAAAGAAAAAAATCGAGTGTGACTGACTTAATAACCATTGTGCTTAGCATGGAAATATTGATCCCAATTGTGGTTGTAAGTTGAGGTCTACCTGTATTCAGTGAGACACAGGTGAGGCTGAACATTGAATCAACTTAAGAAGAGATGCTTGATTCATTGCAGGTCTCTTTATATAAATATCTCTTTGATGCTATGGTGCAAGGATGCTTAACCCAAGATATTTTTATACATCACCTTCATCTGAAGCCCAAACAGCCACTTGGCCAGGAAATCCAAGAACATGCTCAAAAAGCTGGATTCGTGGTGCACTGCTTTGAAGACCTCCTGGAACTGGTGCTCCTCAACTTGACCCACTCAGAAATTCCGGCTATTGACCATCTTCAAATTGAGTACATTCATCAGAAGACCAACACGTTGCTGGGCACCGAAGTCATCACCTATGACCACGATGAATTGATGTCCGTGTCCCATTATCTCTTATCGTATTGGAAAGGGCAAAGAGATCCCAAGGGAGTGGACATTGAGGACGCTTGGAAATGCTCCTATTGCGCCTTTGTCGACATCTGTGATTGGCGCCAGCAGAGAGTGGATGGCCTGATCCAAAAGGGCAGCAAAAAGAAAAACATGAGCGAGAGCCAATCCAGAGAATAGAGGCTTCTGGCTGGGAGAATGGACATAGCCAGTTATGGCTCAGCATTCTTGCAAGACACCCCAACTGCCAAAAGTGGATGAACTTCTCCTACAAAAGGAGACACTAAGTAAATTAACCCTATTTCCCATCTCTAATAATTTTGAGGCTCTTGAATGGGACTTGCAAAGAGAAACAGAAAAGCAACAATTATCAGAGCTTTCTCTTTCTCTTGGCGAAGATTTAATAGACTGTTCTGATTCTATGCCAGCCCTCCCTTTTCATTCTTCAGTCTTCTGCTAGCTCCAGCTTCTTCTAAAGAAAATAAGAACACAAATCGCACAGGGTAAGGACTGGGAGGAACTGTTTTCACAGGATGGCTCAATTGAATTCATGGTAAAACAGTGTTTGCTCATAGGCAAGCTATTATTTCAGTGTTCAAGCAATTAGCCTCTATTAAAATTAACCTGCATAAGTTAGTGAGCCCTGGAGGCGCAGTGGTTAGAATCAGTATTGCAGGCAAACTCTGTCCACAACCTGGAGTTCAATCCTGATAGAGCTCAAGATTGACTCAGCCTTCCATCCTTCCAAGGTGAGTAAAATGAGGACTCAGATTGTTGGGGGCAAGATGCTAACTCTGTAAACTGCTGTATAGTACTATGGAGCAGTATATAAGTCTAAGGGCTACTGCTATTGCTATTATTAGTGCCTTGAGTGTGTAGGAATGTATCTTGAGGGAGATACAGTACAAGTGCTCCTCACCTTCAGAATTACAACAGTGCTGAACGAAGGGACTTGTGATTACTGCCCAAATGTATGGCTGCTGAGTACCGCCACAGTCACATGAACAAAACTTGGGCACTTGGCAATCTCACTGACTGCAGTGCCCCTTATTTATCTCCCCCCACCATCCTGCCCTCTGGGTCTCTGAAGCCTTGGGTCCCTTTGGTCCCACATCATCCTCTCCACTTCCCTTCACAGCTTAGTCACTTACCCAAAGGAGATCTATTGGGAAGCAGCCAATCCAACACATGGACTTCCTACATAGGCTATGTGGCACCCTCCCAGAAGTGGGCACCATTTTGGGAGTGACTGCAATGAACTTTTGTCTATTCCAAAATGGTGCCCACTGCAATGGTATAGGGTTTCCTGCCTGAGCAGGGAGTTGGACTAGAAGACCTCCAAGGTCCCTTCCAACTCTGTTATTCTGTTCTATTCTATCTCTTGTCAGCTTTCAATACCATCAACCTAGTTATCCTTTGGGGCCAACTTAGGGAGTTTACGGCGAGTGACACAATTTGTCCTGGTTCACCTCTTTCCTCCAAGTTTGGTCCCAATCAGTATTGATAGAGAGTGAGAGGTCCAGCTCTCGGCCCCTGCTCTGTGGGGTACCAGAGGCTGTCTGGACTCCTATTTAGCCTCTACATGAAACCACTGGGTGAGATCATCCACCATCATGAGTTTAGCTATACCCAGTTGATATCCAGAGTAGGATGGCATCCTGCTGACATCCAGTTATGTATCTCCATCCTGGGTGAAGTGAGTGATGAAGTAGACATTCTTTTGAGGTGCCTGGAGGCTATGAAGGCCTGCTTGGAGAACAACAGACTTTGGCTGAACCCTGGTAAGACAGAGTGGTGTGAATGGGATATAAATGTTTATAATATTCGGTCTTGATGGGGTTGCATTACCTCAGATCTGATGTGTAACCCAGGGTTCTTCCCTGGGGGAGGAAAAGGGGGAGGGGAGAGAGGAAAGGGAAAGGAAAGGAAGATGGGCCCCGATGTTGGTTGCTCTTTTTAGTTACATTAACAGCACAGCATGTTTCCCATCTGGGTGATATTATCCTTCTCTATAGGAATATAGGAAACAGACTTTGCCCTGCCAACTGCAGACCAATTAGCTTGCTTAGTACAAAAAAGAAGCAATATGCAAAGTGCCTTTATTTAAAACTGTTGGATTCACTTTTACAAGTGAAAATCTTGTAAAAAAAAAAAAAGGGATGGGATTTAGAGGGGATCATTCAACCTTAGACAACTGTCTGGTCTTGCTCTGTTTAACTGAAAAATACACCTCACTGTCCAAAGGGACCATTTTTTTCAATGTTTGTGGATTTCATATCAGCTTTTGATCTGATTCCACAGGAGAGGCTATGACAAAAACCTCAGGAATCCCCAGTGTATAAAAGATTGTTGCCTCTTATCCGACTCTTATCCTGCCTTATCTACACCTCATTGAGGCTCAGATGTTCCTCTTGGGAGCTGTTTCCACCAAAAGAGGGGTAAGGCAAGAGAGTAAAGTAGCCCTCTCACTTTTTTTAATTTGTACATCAATAATTAAGGCTCTCTTATCATCTAACCATCGGTCCCCAATTTTTGCAGATCGTGCAATCCCAGCCTTGCTGTATGCAGATGATGTGATAATTTTGCCTATTTCTCCAGCAGGAATCAGAAGGACACTGTGAGCATTGGTGTCCTTTTGCCTAAAAGAACAATGTGTAATAAACTAAAAAAAAAAAAAAATCCTAAAGGACTAGTGTTTGCACAACATACCAGACAGATTAAACAGTCCTCAATAGAGCAGGTAGATACTTATAAATACCTTGAAGTGAGTTCCAGGTTTCCTTATCTTGGACTGCATATTTTTCTTATCAGGCAAGTGGGCCCCACAGCTGTCTTAAGATTCTTCTATTCAAAGGAGGCACATATTCTTCCTGCAGTTTGCAAAGTTTTGTTTGCTAAGTCCTTTCTCCCCTTCTTTATGATGTTCCAATTTGCATTTTTACAAAGTTTAATATCCTGGTGCCTTTCCAGTCCATATTTAGTTGTGAATGCAGTTTTTAAGAAGAGACTAGACAGTCACTTGCTGAAATGGTATAGGACAGGTTCTCCTGCTTGAGCAGGGGGCTGGACTAGAAGACCTCCAAGGTCCCTTCCAGTTCTATTCTATTCTATTCTATTCTAAATTTATAATACTCGCAGTTCCAAGATGTATCAAGAATATTGTTTTACAGTTAGAGATAAGTTGGTTTGTGGAGCCAAGCCTGGCTCTACCTGTTTACTTTCTGGTTGAAATGGACTTTTTTTTTCTCCTGTGGGTCTGACTCCACTGATTCTCAGATCCCATTTTAAATCAACCTGGCGAACAAAAACTAATCGCAAACTCCACTCCTTAGAATTTTCTTTGAAAATTCCTTGACCATTAGGGCTTCAACATGCCAAGATTCATCTTAAACAACCTATCCCTGTCTTGGATATTGATTTTCAAGCCAATTTAAGCCTGGTATCTGATACTACAGTTAATGAATCCTTCTCAAAGTCTAATTCTGAAATTTTGTTGAACTTTGACTGAATGTTCTGCTTTCTGCAGTTCTGTGGAAGTGGTATTAAAACATTCCTTTTCAGCAGAGTTTATGTGAAATCCCCATGCTATATGCCTCTTTGTGGCTGCCTCTTTAAGAAATAAAGGAAGCTGTATACAGTATTTATCCCTTAAAAAAAAAAAAAACATTCCCTACTAGAGAGCACAATATCTGCCTGTCACTGCTTTTATCTGCCCAGGATCCTGAAATATCTTTTTTCGTTGCCTGATTTTGTGGTGCTATTTGTTGTATCTGTCTTCCCTATGATTTGCAAGTGTCACTGCTATTTGTGTTACAGTTACTATTCTGAACGTATAGCTCTATGTAACCACATATAGCTCTATGTAACCTCATATAGCTCTATGTAACCCTAACTAGTGAGCATGTATTAGTATATTACACTATCTGGCAGTTATTGGGTTAAATGCTGGATTTGTTGATGGGTCAGTGGGAGGAGTTTCTAAAGGGCATTGGGAGACTTCCTGGACACAAGCCAGATTGGAATGTCTTTGTCTGAAAGAGGCATGGGCCATCAGATGTCACCCAATGAGCCTGAGCCGTTATAAAGATGGTATGGAAGAGAGCATCATACTTTTACCTATAGGAATGGACAAAAGGTATATTTCCCTGAAGTAACAGCCAAAGTATGTATGCAAGTAATCTTTCTGATTGAAATATATTTATTTTGTTATAAACCATTTCTATTGAGTTATCTATCTGACTTGATTTAAAGAAGGTGTTTTTAACTCAGAGTCAGAATAGTTACTACAATAATCCACATGGAGAGAAGTAAGCAGCGGGGTACCACAAGGCTCCATCTTAGGCCCAGTACTCTTCAATATCTTCGTCAATGACCATTTTTGTTAGGAATTGTTGAAGAAAATGTTAGTAAAGAGGATATGTATTTATTTGTTCATGTGGTTACAGCGGCAAGTATTCGCTCAGAATTGGAAAAATTCAGCTGTACCTAGTGAGGAAATTTTAATTTATAAAATTATGCATTGCACAGAATTAGATAGGTAACTAAAAGACTCAAAAATCAGGATGTGGAGGTCACTGTGATGTGATAAGTTAAGATTGAGTTTAGAGTGATGTTTTTGTATAGAGTTTAATTAATTATGAATAGGAATGAACTGAGATGTTGGTCAAGTCTGATTTACCATGTTCAATGTTTTTAAACTTTTTCTTCTTTTGTTATTTAATAAAAATTTATTAAAAAAAATAATAAAAAAAATATCTTTGTCAATGACTTAGATGAGGAAGTAGAAGGGAAACTCATCAAATTTGCAGATGACACCAAACTGACAGGAGTAGCCAACACCCCAGAAGACAAACTCAGGATCCAAAAAGATCTTGACAAACTTGAACAATGGGCCCTATCCAACAAAATGAATTTCAATGTGGAGAAAAGCAAAGTTTTACATTTAGGCAGGAAAAATCAAAAGGTACAAGTACAGATTGGGTGAGAAACTTCCTAACAGTGAGAACAATTAACCAGTGGACCAGCTTACCTTCAGAAGTTGTGGGTGCTTCATCAGGAGGTTTTTAAGAAGAGACTGGACAGTCACTTGTCTGAATTGATATAGGATCTCCTGCTTGAGCGGGGCAGGGGGGGGGAATGAGGTTGGACTAGAAGGCTTCCAAGGTCCCATCCAGCTCTGTTCTGATTGAAGTTTCTGTAATCTTATTGCAACTGTATATTTTATGTATTTTATGTCATCTTTATTTGCAATTTTTATTGCCTCCCAGGGTCATCTCGCATAGTGAGATGGGTGTGGCATATAAATTAAATAAATAAATACATACATTTTTTTTAAAAAAAACTTTTATTGCTAATTAGAGTTCTCATTATTTATTGTTGTATTTTTCTGTCCCGTGGACTATATAATAAAGATTTTGATTTGGATCGTAAAAGCTTTCGACAATGATGTGAGGAACACCAGAGGGCAGTCTTACGTTAAGAATTGGCCTTGTCAGCTGTTCTCTAAAGCTTGCATAAAGCTCAGTTTCCCTGCAAATGGTACCAAATTGGCTGTCAAAAATGCATCATTGTGCAAAACCTCAACTCTCTGGAGAAAACTCTGATGCTGAGAAAGATGTAAGGTAAAAGAAGAAGAGAATGACTAGCAGCAAAGAGGATGGACTCAATTACAGATAGTCCTTGAATTGCAACTATTCATTTAGTGACATTTAAAGTTACAACGCACTGAAAAAAGTAACTTATGACTCTTTTTCACACCTACAACCATTGCAGCATCCCTGTAGTCACATAACAACCTTGTGACTAACTCAGCAACTGCAGAGATTCACTTAACAACTGGCAAGAAAGGTCATAAAATGGGGCAAAACTCATGTTAATGTTGTCTGGCTTAGTAATTGAACTTTTGGGCTCAATTGTGGGTGTAAGTCAAGGTCTTATGTATTTGGTCTTCGGGTTGTTTTTTAGGACATGGGAGGCTACATGTGTGCATGCATCCCAGCCTCACTTGCACGAGCAGCAGACAAGCGCATGCTTGTGCGCTCCATTTGTGTGAGTGGCAGGTGCGTGTGCATGCCGCTCACACAAATGAAGCTGCGTGTGTGTGTGCCCGCCAACTGCTTGTGCAAACCATTCCCTCCCCCCCTCCGCCGGTCTGCAACGCCAAAAACATTGGGGATCTCTGCTTTGGCATATGCCAGACATGTCAAACACAAGGTCTGGGGGCTGGATGCGGCCCGCAAAGTGGTTTCATGCGGCCCGCGAAGCCATCCTGGAAACAGTGTGGGAACGGGCCCCGCTGCTTGGCCCTGGCCCAGGCCAGCCAGGAGCCAATGTACAATTTTGTGGTGGCCATCTATGCTGAAATGCATTCAGTCTTAGCTCCACAAGGCCATCTGGAAACAGCGAGGAACCAGCCCCTGCCGCATCGGCCCCGCCCCCTGGGTGCATGCTGGGGAGATGTCACTCTTTGTGAGGAATGAAGAAATGCACCATTGCCTGTAAGTGGCCAGAAAATGGCCCTCGCCTACTTCACATATCCGGCTTGATAGGCTCTGCCCTGGTCCCACCCCTTTCTGCCAGAGACCCTCAGATCTGTCCCACTCCTGCCCAGGCCCCCACAGGCAACCTTGATGCAAATGATATAGAGCTGGCCACACCCACCCAATAGGCCACACCCACTCCATCCATGCACACCCATTAGGCCGCACCCACCCTGGCCATACATACCCCCCCCCCAGGGCAACCGCAATGCTGATGTGGCCCTCAATGAAATTGAGTTTGACACCCCGGCGTATGCTATGCCACTTTTAAGGAGCGTGCAGCATGTTTTGAATACAAACCATTTCAGCTTTTCAGCCCCAATCTGAGTGCAAAATAGATTGTCTTAATTATTTTGGAAAGCTGAAACCCTTCTAAATGACTTCAGGCAGCCTTTTCTTTTACCATAAGGAGCTCTTCAGGACTCCAAATTGGGACGTTTCAAATTGAAAACATTTTGCACAGCTCTGCCACTTTTCACTGCAGGGGAGAAATTACAATCCGTAATTCACCGGCAGGTGACTAACACCGAGATGGGACTCAATTCACCTCCGTATTTTTGCTTTCCATGGTGGGATGTTCTGTACGAACCTGTGTGCATTAGGGAGAAAGATGCATTTTAAAACCGCCAAGTAGGGAAGACAATTGGCAGAGCTGTTCTTGAGAAAGGGCATGTCAAAACATTGTGCATCGGATTAATGGGTCCTTTGCTATTTTGAGAGTGTGTGGTCAGCAAAATGTCTTGCAAGGTTGTGTTCAACCCCTTACCTGGGCTGTCCCCTTTTCTCATGCAGGAAGGCAAAGCTTTGATTATGAGTTCCTTTCTTTCTTTCTTTTTCTTTCTTTCTTTCTTTCTTTCTTTCTTCTTTCTTTCTTCTCTTTTCTAAAGAGGTCCAGTTTTGGTCACTACATTACAAAAAAGATGTTGAGACTTTGGAAAAAGTCCAGAGAAGAGCAACTAAGAGATCAAAGGCCTGGAGACTTTTCTCTTTCTTTCTTTCTTTCTTTCTTTCTTTCTTTCTTTCTTTCTTTCTTTCTTTCTTTCTTTCTCTTTCTTACTTTTTCTTTCTTTCTTTCTTCTCTCTCTCCTTCCTTTTCTTTCTTTTTTCTCTTTTCTAAAGAGGTCCAGTTTTGGTCACTACATTACAAAAAAGATGTTGAGACTTTGGAAAAAATCCAGAGAAGAGCAACTAAGATGATCAAAGACCTGGAGACCTACCTATCTTTCTTTCTTTCTTTTTCTTTCTTTCTTTCTTTCTTTCTTTCTTTCTTTCTTTCTTTCTTTCTTTCTTTCTTTCTTTCTTTCTTTTTCCTTCTTTCTTTCTTTCTTCTCTCTTTCCTTCCTTTTCTTTCTTTCTTTCTTTCTTTCTTTTTTTCTTTCTTTCTTATCTTTTCTAAAGAGGTCCAGTTTTGGTCACCACATTACAAAAAAAGATGTTAAGACTTTGGAAAAAGTCCAGAGAAGAGCAACTAAGATGATCAAAGGCCTGGAGACTAAAAAACATATGACGAACAGTTGCAGGAATTGGGTATGGCTAGTCTAGAGAAAAGAAGGATTAGGAATGACATGATAGCAGTTCTCCAGTATTTGAGGATCAACCTATTCTCCAAAGCACTAGAAGGCAAGACAAGAAACAATGGATGGAAACTAATCAAGGAGAGAAGCAACCTAGAACTAAGGAGAAATTTCCTAACAGTGAGAACAATTAACCAGTGGAACAGCTTCCCTCCAGAAGTCGTGGGTGCTTCATCACTGGAGGTTTTTAAGAAGAGACTGGACAGACACTTGCCTGAAATGGTATAGGGTCTCCTGCTTGAGCAGGGGGTTGGACTAGAAGACCTCCAAAGTCCCTTCCAGCTCTATACTGATTGATTGGTTAAGAGCATCTGGAATAAAACTTCAGGGTATTTGTGTAAAAAAAGGGGGGTTCAAAAAAGTAGGGTTTTTTTTAAATAAAAGTTGAAATTAAGGAAGGAGCAAGCACCAACCAAAGTATCTATGTCTTAACTGGTGCCTAGGCTATCCCATTGCCTGTCGTCTATCTGTAAGAAAGGTCAAAATTTTGAAATTGATGCCTCACTCATTTTTTTTTAAACCACCAATATAGCTTTTTAACCTCCCTATGGATATCCCGGCTGTTAACCATTGGTGTGTGTATTTTCATGGGTCCAAATGTGACATTTTTTTCAGTCTTTATTTTTTTTAAATGTCTAAAAATCATTTATGGGGACATCTGATGTCATGGACTGTGGGGGGGGAGGAAAATGCACCTAAGAAGAAGCTAAAACCAGAGCTATGATGCCCGCCAGTACAAATAAGGACGAAGGGACTAAGACTGCAATCTTGTATATGTTTATGCAGGTTAAGCTGAAGCAAGCATTGATCAGAAAACATGTGAAGGCTGAAATGCTAGCCTTGCTTTAGAACAGTGGTTCTCAACCTATGGGTTGGGACCCCATTTGGGGTCGAACGACCATTTCACGGGGGTCGCCAAACAATGCAGTCTGCCATTTTTTTTCTCCTTTTCCTTAGCTGTGCTACTCCCTTTTATTCTATTGGCTTTTGAAAGCCAATAGAATAGACTATCATGAATAGAGTCTAATTCTATTGGCTTTCAAAAGCCAATAGGAATTGTCCAGGCTGTCTCTGCCCTGCTGAGCCCGCCAAAAGTCCCATTCTGCAAACGGTGCTGCATCAGTTAAGTAGTCCTCGACTTACGACCGGTTGAATAGTTCTCGACTTACAACCGGTTGGG